CAACAGAATTATCTTTGTTGATTGATTGTTCAAGGGGAAAAAGGACCTTTTTCCCCGAGAAACAATCAAAACAACCACAAAATTAATTAATTAATTAAGTAAACAATAATCAACTTAAGAAAATTAAACAACTGTAATCAACAAGCGTTGAAAATCAAATGCGTTTAGACGCCCCCTCACAGCGACAACTCGAGTTGTTACCATGACAACTCCCTCACATTGTTCTCGTTAATTAGGAAACGAAGAAGTCGCCATTGTGTTTTTGACCCTTTAATTGAATGGTCTTTTGTTTTAAAATTGCTACAATTTAATTATGTTGTTAACTTCAATTGTTAATTGTTTTCCTTTACGATCAACTTGAGGAGGAACAAGGACCTTGTTCCACCTCTTGTTGATTCGGAAGAGGAAACAAGTGTTTCATTTTTTTTTTAAACCTTGAAAATTCAAATCACCTTTAAAACATATTCCACCATTGGTAAAATATTCAACAAAACTACCTGATAATTAATCAGTTTGTGGCCAATTGATTGACTTGTCAGGGAGAAAAGGACCTTTTCACCCTGACAAGCCAAGAAAGAAAACGATTGAAATTCAATCGCCTCCAAGATACAACAAATTCAAATTGAATTCAAAGAGAGCGAAACCAACTCAGTCAAGGAGACAAGGACCTTGTCACCAAGACTGAGCCATTTGAAGAGATTGGAATCTCAGAATAGACGCCACAATTACAAGATATTATCGTAAAGAAATCAAGTCAACAGTTAATCGTGTCTCAATCGCCTCATCAAGCTAATTCTTCTCATCTTTCAAAGTCAAATTCAAATTGACCCCTTTCAGTTATCAAAGGTTACCTTGTCAGGGTAAAAAGGACCTTTTCTCCCTGACAAGGTCAAAGAAAACCAAAGCCTTAACAAAGTCAATTCAATTCAGTTCGAGTTAATCTCATCTTTTGAAACAACACAGATCAAAAACTTTCCTTATAAAGAAACAAATTGTCGAGAGGAAAAAGGACCTTTTTCCTCAAGACAAGGTGAATTCTTTTTCCCTATTTGTATCGAATTGTAAATCTTTCATCATAAACAAAATCAAAATTCAACTAGAAATTCATCTAGCAAGACAATTAGTAATTCAAGCTGCTTCATTTAGCCTAAAAGCTTCTTTCCGCTGGGGAAAAAGGACCTTTTTCCCCAACTAAGACAGCTCATCTAACTTATTAGCTGATTAATTAGAAATTACTTCAACCGTGAGAAATTTGATTTTGATCTCAACTGTAATTTGAACTATTATCATTGTCAACCCCTTTCATCATCTCAAGTGAAATTAAGAGTTAATTAGCTTAACCATTGTCAAGAGAAAAGGACCTTTTCCCAGAGACAAAAAGCTATTGTGAGAAAGAAATTGTGACTCAACTCTTTACCTGTGATTTAAGTGCCTTAACAATAGTTAATCATCACCAGCTAATTAAAGCTCACCTTTACCAATTAGTGCGAAAAAGCCTGATTGTTAGGAGAAAGGACCTTTTTCCCAACAAATCATCTCATTTTCCATCAACTTCTCAAATTATCAACATCATTATCTCAAATTGTTAATCAAAATTAATCAAATTAATTATCCAATTGTTGTTCATCTAAAGAGAAAAAGGACCTTTTTCACTAAAGAGAAAACAACAATTCAAATTAATCAACATCTTAATTATAAATTCCCTTAATTATTTTGCTAATTGTTGTAAATTGTTTAATTGAAGGAAAAAGGACCTTTTTCCCTCAACAAACAATATCCCTTTTACATTGTTGTAAATCTTATAAAAATCAATCGAGTTAATCAAATCAAGCCAAAGATCAAGATGGAACAAAAAGAAAAGTATTGGAAAGTTTCGAAAAAGTCATTAGAGCTTCTAATTAGAGAAAAGATTATGAAACATTTTGGAAAGAAATGGTTAAACATCCCGTTAGATTTGTTCCTTCATGGTTTGATTTTCTCTGAACTTCCCAAAGGAGATACCCAAAGATACTTAATCTCTATTTCCTGTAAATTCTGTGATCATGTTCCCGTTAATCCTTACAAATGTGATCAGTGCAAAGAATTTTATTGTCTTTATTGTGCCAAAGTTCTTTTTATTATTTACAATCATCGTAAAGGTATTACAAATCCCGATCTCAACAACATCGAAAATCAGAAATTTGATTGTATTTCCTGTTTAGGAAATGAATTGTCTCGAATTCAGAATCTGAATAGTGATGAACTCAAAGTGTTTTCTGAGTTCAATGTTCATTGTAGAAATTATTTCTGTGAACAACAAATGAAATATTTCGATATGATCAAACATATTCAGAATTGTAATAGTGGTGAATTCAAAGTGAATTCGATTCTGAATTTCATCAAATTGAACAAAGACTTAATCGAAAATAACGACAGAGTTGCCGTTATTCCCCCGTTAGAAGGACCAGAAAATCCCTTAAGAACTGTACCTGAATTTGCTAAAGCTTTCGATGCTCGGCTCATGGTACAGTATCCAGATTTAGTTACTCTTATTTCTGGAAAGAGAAAGTGTTCAACTGATGAACCCGTTCAAAAACGATCGAGACTTGAAGAGGAACAAGGACCTTGTTCCACTTCAAGCTCAACAGCGATTGAACCCTTCTGGTACGAACCAAATGAACCATTGATTTACTCAAGTTTAGAAAGTAAATCATCTCAAGAAAAACAAAAAGATCCTCAGCCATCAACATCAAGTCCAATGGAATCAAAGAAGATCTTGGAAAATTAGATACTCCTGATAAAGGTAGACCAAAGATTGTAAAATCAATTCAAGAAATTAAAAGTGATAAAACCCTAACATCTAAGCAACGAAAGGTAAAGATCAAAGGAAAGAAACGCCGAGCCAAAGAATTAGAATCTGGTACAGGAAGTAAACAAGATATCGAAAGAAAGAAGAAAAGATTAGATTGGTTAGCTCTTAAAAGCAATCCAAATAAAGTTTTCAATCTCGAAACAACATTCATGCAGAAAGACTCACCAAAACAATTAGGGAATTGAATGAAAAGAAAATAAAAGTTTGTGGAATCGATATCGAGAAATCAATTGTTAAAACAATCATTGGACCACGAGATTTACCAATTTGGATTGGAATTGTCGACCTAAACGGTAATCAACTATTCAATGATATTGTCCGGTATCCAAAAGATGCTATTACTATGAACACTCGTTTCATGGTGTAACATTTGATTTAACCCGAGGTGCTGACCCTTGGCCGATTGTTAAAAGAAAAGTGATTGCGATCTTGAAAACTCAAGATATCATCGTTACCGCTAATGGAGCAACAGATTTCATTTCATTGGGATTTGATGAATTCGATTGGGATATCATTCGACCAAAGATTCGTGATGTCAACATTTATTATCGTTGCATCTATAATGCTCCTCAAATTGCTTTAAAATTTATCACCTTTACTCTCTTTGCTAAAATCATTCAAGAAAATGAACATTCACCAATAGTAGATGCTGGATTTACTATGATGGCCTACCTTAGATTACGAAGAGTTTGAAAAAGCTCATTTGGAATCAATTAACAATCCAATGTATACAAGGCCCTATCCTCAAGTAGATTATGGATACAATCGTCAAATGTCTGAACTAATTCGCCGAATAATGGAAAACATCAATGATTGGCCTTTAGCCGTTCGCAAAAGACCAATGGGAAAACCAAATAAATCATTCGATGAATTCGACTATTGTGATGGAACCGATAATCTAAGACCACCATTTAGTGAGATAAACCTACGACTGTTCGACAAGTTTAGAGTACGAACACCAACAATCCACCGACGTTGATTTCGCGGCAATTGGAACCAAGTCCATTTCAACTACCAGGCAGTCAAAACGCTCTTGGTTCTAAGTTCTGTCACCCGAAAGCAACGTCAAGTAGGGGGCTCTGTAAGGGGATTAGCCATCACACTTTGTAATATATTAACTTTCCCTCATTATCTTATCTACCACGTGTCTATTGTTAAATCACCTTCAATGTTAACCCTCAATTAAGATATAAATAGCCACTCAATTGTCCTTCTTAGTTAGTTGTTAAAAGTTATTAGTTAATTGTTAATTGTAATTACTCTCTCTCCCTTTTCTAAAGTTGTTCAACCTCTGATAACCTCTATTTTTCCCCCACCTTAATTCACTAATTCCAGTTCGTTTACTAACCCATTGAATTTAAATAAAACAATTTCAACAAAGTGTTAATCAAAAAGTAAAGCCTTCACCTTAGTATTAGTTTCCTCTCGGGATCCCTTAGTATGGGTTGCTTGCTTGCAAATATACTTATCAATCATCAGCATCACTGATCAATTGATGGTTAAAAAAAAAGATGATGAGGAGGATAAAATGATGATCGAGCCTGGTGATGGGTTAAAAACAATAATGATAAACAGAAACACACCTTAATTGTAAGATTATCAATTGAGAAATTAAAATTGCTCCAGGCAATAATTTCAATAATAATTATATCACACTAATCATATTCATAAATGACCATTTCTCACTTATCATCATAATACCTTTTAAATCATTTGGGAGTATCAAATATCATTAAAAGGTTAACTTAATCATCATGATAATTATTATTGGTCATTAAAATTAATTCATATTTTTAGTGATATTTTTTATCGTATTTTACTGAGTTAATTGATTCTTCAAATTTGTTTTTTCTAATCATCAATGATATTATAACTTAATCTGTTTCTTATTCAGATTCTAGAGTAATCAAGAATTGCAAGTGATTATTATTGTGATTATGTGGTTTGTTGTTAATTTGATTAGTTTTATGATTAACTAGATTATTATTGAAATTAGTATAATCATCATGAGTTGATAAATGATGCTGAGGTTTGTAGTAAGCTAATTGAGATTATCAATGTAATTGCAATTATTATTTTTCTCTATGATTGCTGAAGTTGTTGTAATTATTGAGTTCTAATTGGAAATCTAATTATTAATAATACTTACCAATTATATCAGAGGTTCGTTTACCAGAATCTTCGAGAGATGAACAATTAGATAGCCCACTTTTCCGTTCAGACGAAATCTCTGAATCTGATCCCTTGAATGTTAACTCACCACAATCAGAAAGTGAATCTTTCGATCGACGTTTATTTGCTTCAATTAAATCATTGAGAAAAGCGAGATCAGCGTAAAGTGACCGCTGCTTCTCGGACATTGATGACTTTCGAATTTCTTTCTCTAACATTTCACCATAAGGACCTCGAAGAGGTTTCTTCGCGTATCGAGGTCGAGTGATCGTTGATGTAGCCGATGAACAAGGTGAACCAGAGGGACTTCCGCTGCTTCCTCCTCCTCCTCCTCCCTCCACCTCCACCACTACCATTTCCACTAATACTTCCGCTTCCTCCTCCTCCTTCCCCTGCCCCTTCCCCTGTTCCTCCATGGTGATGGTGGGAACCAAGACTATAACTGTGACTATGATAATGGCCTAAAGGTGATCCTCTAGACCCCAACGGTAATTGTTGCGCTGTAAAACCAAATCTATTACTGGATAAACTTTTTTTACCATTAAGTGTATTACTATTGAAATTTGATTTGATTGTTTTGTTGTTATTTAAACTTAAATTGTGATTATCATTATTATTGTTGTTGTGATGGTTAACACAACTATCACCAGCATCACATGATTGGGAAATCCAATTTCTTGTGGTCAGTTTAGCTGTAAGCTCTTTCAATTTAGGATTAGTTGACCGTCTGACTGAAGATGATGATGACGATGAGGGAGGAGATGAGGTTGTTGGTGTTGTTGTGGTTGTGGTTGTTGTAGTTGAATTAGTTGATATTAATCCGATTGTGTTGGATGTCAATTTGATACTATTGTTGTTGTGATTGATTGTAGATGATGAACATGACGAGGGTGGACTTGATTCTTTGGTAATTAATATTGGAGCTGCTGAAAGTGATCGGCGGAATTTACGAATCTCTCCAAATGGTGTAGCTTGTACTTCAACACTGGTTAGTAAAGGGATCGCTGGAAAGGGAGATGAAGCACAATTAACAACATTTTCTTTACCACTGTTACTACAAAGATCACTCAATTGTCTAATCGCTTTAGGCCGGTTGTCAAACATTAACAACAAGAGACGGAGACACAATTGTTAATCCAAAATTAAAACAGAAATGAAGATTTAAAGATGTTCAGATTAGTTGATTGATGGAAGATTACACAAGATTACCAGAGAGAATCACTTGAGAGAAGGAGAAACCAATTATTGGACACAAGAGAATTTAACGAAAAAGAAAACATCTAGAGAAGAACAAAAGGTAAATCCAAAATGGCCACTAATCCGAAATTCTTTTCATGGAAAATTAGGAATTTTTTTTCCTTTTTCTCATTAGACACAAGAAATTTTCTTTTTACATTTTTTGGTTTGGCTAAAGAAGCTGATCAACATTTGAAGAAGAAGATGAGAAGGCAAGAGAAAAAGAGAACATACAGAGAAAGAGAGAAAATTAAAGATGAGGAAGATTGAAAAGAGCAAGAGAAGGGAACAGAAGATGAAGATAAAATGAGAGTTGTTGTTGTGCCGAAAAAAAAGAGAAGAGGGAGCGATGAGAACTAATAGTTTGCTCCCTTTTTTCAACTTCTCTTCTTTTCTCTCGCTGAGTGTGAGAGAGAGAGAGAGAGAGGAAAAGATGAGAAGCAAAGATGAAAAGGGTGAGAAAGGGAAGAAAAAAGGTAAGTTATGATTCTCTGTTTACACAATAACGAAAACAAATAAATTCCATTTTTTTATTTCCAACGAGGCACCGATCATGCAAATCGATTAAAAATCAATTTTCGAATAATCGAATTTCAACTTTTCTTCATCAATTGAAATTAAGAAACCAAATAATCACAAACAAATGTTAACAATTAGATGGGATTTCATGACGATTTCATTGAGTTATCAAAGTTTTCAACTGAAAATCAACAGTTTAGTTAAAAGATGAAACGATTTTTTTGCAAATCGATTATTTGAATGTTCGATGTTTGAAAAGAAATTTTTTCTTTGCATGATCGTCCAAACGTCTTAACATAAAAGTTACTTTTCCATCTCTCTCTCTCTCTCTCTCTCTCTTACATCTTGTTGTTTATTTGTTTATCATCTTCTTTTTTCTTCCTCATCCCTGGTCATCACCTTTCTTTCAGGTAACTTGAAGAAAAACAAGTGAGAGAGAGAGAGAAGGAGGTTGAAAAAGGAGGGATGATAAAGGAAGATGAGAAATGAATGGTAAGGTTTGGGTCAGAATTCATTTATTGATATTTATCATCATCTTCCTCATCATCATGGGCCTGGTCAACAAAAATTTGGGCTACATCGTGACTCCCATAAGGTGAACAAAAATATGTAGGTAATAATTAACTAATCACTTGATTGAAGCATTATGATTAAGTACAATCATCATACTGACCACTGACCACACTAAGAGTTGAACAATTGACCAAAAAAAAAACAACAACAAGAGCTTTCCAAAAACTGACCAAAACAATTGAAAAGTAATTAATTAAAGTGAATAATTTGTACGCTCTCTGATTAACAATCAAATGGAAACAACAATTAACTTTGTCTTATCAAAACAATTATCAACTCTTTTCATTTGAAAGGTCAGTTTTATCAAATATATTGACACATTTTCAGGATTGGTGACTTATTTAAATCATGATGATATTGATAATGCACCGAAAGTACAAACAATTAACAATTAAAACCGATCCCCAACTGATTTAATATTAACTCTTTGCACTGATTTATTTTAATTGTGGGACCTTTTTCCTAACCATCAACACTAATTTGTTGATTACTTTGTGGTCAGTTGATGATGAAATTGAAATGGTCAAAAAATAGACTTTAAATCATTTACAATTTTCAATTACAACTCAGCGGTTGGTTGACACAATCAAGGATGACAACGAGAGTTAATTGTAACAGTTAAACGTCAACATGATTAACCATAAATCAATATAATCAAACAACCACATGATCAACAATCAATAACTTTTTTTCATCTTCCCAATCAAATGTAACCAAATTAAATAAATTGTAACCAACACTTTGATATATTCCTGGAGTAAAAAAAAGTTAATTGTAAATAGTTAATAAAGTTAATCATGTAAAGAAAAAAAAAATCAATTCCTTTTGACCCAAAAGAGGCTCCAATGTACTTTTCATTGATCTGCTTGATTTACTGATTGTGATTAGATTAAATTTGTTGATTCCAATGATGAAGTGAAGATGATGACTCCATTTTTAAATTGTCCCTAAATCGTTTACAATTTAAATCATTTCCTCAATGGTCCTACAAAAACTGCAGGTAACTTTCAATTCTGTGAATCAAAACAAAACCAAAAAAAAAACTTTGATTAGTTTAAAGATTAATATGATTAAAGATTAAGATTAAGGAGTCAAGTAAAAACTGATTGTTTTGATTAAAAGCTCAAATATTGCAAATGAATAAATTGCAATTTAAATTGTTAAATTTAGTCCATTATTTTCACGGTTGTTCAGTGATTGTCTTACTGATCATGAAAAGTCATCAAACTGAGAAAGTAACATTAGTAACAATGTATCAGCGGTTGTAAATATTGATTGAAAGACAATTGAACGATCATCTTGCTCATCATCATCTTCATCATCATCTTCCTCATCATCAATCCACCGCTGTGATGAAATGTTAACCTTCATCAAATGATGAACCAAATAATGATAATCTGACAGACCAATTGAAATGATGATGATGATGATGATGCCTCCCTCTAATCTTTGATAATGAATATCAAAAATCATCATCATCATAAGGAAGATGAGGATGAGGATGAGGAAGATGAAGATGATCATCTTATCAACACTCTATAAGGTTTTTCTTTATCATCTTTACCTGGTAAGAGATATTATTGTTTCCATAAATACTCAATATACACTCACCTATTTACCTTCATCACTTAATATTAATGATAAATATTGAATCAGTAAATGATTTATATTAAGTTTGATTGTGAAAAGGAAAAATTATCAGAGTTAATTGTTAACAATTAGGTGAACACCCAAGACTAATGAATGATATGAAAATGTAGATCAAGACTTTCATTATAATCATGATTTAGGATTACGGTAATTCAGCATGAGATCAACATAATAAGACTTTAAATTTTTTTCCCGCTGAGATTTTCAGTCTAATCATCAACTTATATCATCGGCATCTTAATCTTCATCAAGATTTACTCAGGATTAGCATTCCAATGACAAACTGGACACACAGAGAGCTGAGGTTATTTTAATTATCATGATAATGAACACACACAGAAATTAATTAATTACAATAATCATAATTTAACTACAAACCGTTAAATTGTCCAGCAAATTAAAATTAATTATTCACAATAACGGTAAATATGTTTATCATTTTCATGATCAACTTAAGTTTTTGTTTCAAATGATTTAACAAAATTTGATTTAGTAGTTAATAAAATTAAATTATTAATCTCTCAGCTTTTGGTAATGAAAATAATTAATGGTAATAAATCACAATTTAAATTGTTCATCTTGTTAATTTTTTATTGATTTTATTAACTATTACAAGTTTAGCTAATTGTTGTTAAATAAATGATTATGATAATTTGTTAATTCAGTGTTAGTTTTAAATTGTTTTTTCCTCTTCAAATAAAATCAACTGAAACAATTTGTTACCTTCAATGATTAAACAATTAACTTGATTGTTTACCATTGGTAAAAAAAACAACAACAACAACAATCAAATTGATTTAGTTTTAATAAACAATTCAAAAGTTTTACCCTTCAATTCATTAATCAAATAGTTTATTAAAATTAATCAATTCTCAGTTTAAATAATTTAAATCACATGCAGAGAGATGTTAATTATTTAAATCAAATCTAATTGTTAAATCAATTTCGATGGGAAAAAAAACTTTCTATATGATTTAATAATCTGGTTGATTACAATCAATGATCATGTTTAATTAAAACATACTCATCATCGTAATCATAATCAAGATCAACAAATTAAATTGATTGAAATTATCCAAGCATAACTCAAATATCATTAATGATTAAGGTTAAATCATGATTAATCAATGAAAATGTTTGAAAAAGCAAAATAATGGTTAATTTAATTTTCTGTTAATCATGTTGATTATCAAACTAATGGTCAAATAATTAAGATAATATCGGAAACAGTAAATTGTTTCTAATCAGATTTTCATATAAAATATAAATTAAAAAAAAAGAGCTGATTAATAACAGATAATCAACAGAATCAAGTCAAAAATTAACTATTACAATTAAAATGATAACAATCAAGACGGATTGTTATCATTGATTAACTAACTAACTAACGAAAGCATAATAATTGACAATTTAATAATTAGATAATAATAATGAAATCAACTTATTGACTTGATTAAAAGTCAATAGCAACAGTTAATTAATTGTAACGAGTAAAAATTGAGCAAAAAAGTTTTAAGATGAAATTAAAAGATGAAACCAAAATTGGAATCTTTTCATTTCTCAATTAACTAAATTACTGGCGTTGAAACAGTTAAATGTTTCAATATTTTAATAGTAATCAAGGTAAATCATAATAATCATACCTTGTAAGGTGATAAGGAGCTAGCACATTTCCTATGGCCCTACCTGTAAATCATGAGAGAGGAAGATAGAAAGAGGAAGATGAAATAGTGAGAGAGATAATAAGAGTTACCTGTTATTGTAATCATGATGGAGATTACTCATAATAATAAGCAATTTATCAACCTTATCTCTCTCTCTCTCTCTCTCTCTCTTTCTCTCTCATCATCATCATGCAGATACGGTGAAAACAGTTCCTGTAATCACGAGTTGCATGCTAATGCCCTTCCTAACAGGCCAATGAATATGAATTGTATCTCACTCCCAAGAAACTTTTCTTAAGTTATCATTTTTTTTACCTTATTCATGAAAAAATTGCTTCTATTTTGAATCAATGATAAAGATAATGAATGAGTGAGTAAGTGAGAGAGAGAGAGAGAGAGAGAGAGAAAGGAAAATACTTATATTAACTCTTATTGCCTTGTTAGTTGATTGTTTTTAATTGTAATTGG